ATATATTATATATATTATATATCCTATATAATAAAAGCCTAATATGCAAATTGTCCCCTTGGACAGTCATTCCACTGGGAGTTCAACCACTTGCTATGATGTGTGCTGACAACCAGGGGGTGGCGCAGAACATCGTGTACATTGGTGACATGGCACTGGCGCGGGTGGCAGAGGAGGTGCTGCCAGCCCCAATGGGCCCCAACAAGAGCAGGACCACAGCAGAATGGTGGAGCAGGTGAGAGGCAGTGCCAGGACAAGGCAGGTACAAGTGGGGGCCAATAGCCACACAGATGGCAACCAGCAGTGGCAGCGGGTGGGGGGGGCACCTCCTGGCTCTCAGTCACTGAGGGATCCAGGCAGGGGGAGTGTGAGGGGTTCCAATTGATCCCCTCGCAGGCGGGATTGTGGAGCAGATGTGGGGGTGGCACCAGGCCAACGCAGGTGCTAGGCAGGACTGCGGGGCTGTGAGGCTGGAGTCGTGAGCAGGGACCCAGTCCCCACAGGCCACCCTGAGTGACCCCATCTGTGCACGAATTCGTGCACCGGCCTATAGTATATATATATAAATTTTCTTTTGTATATATACTTTTATAAATATATAATTAGATGCCAGGTGCACGAAATTCATGCACGGGAGGGGGTGTCCCTCAACCCAGCCTGCACCCTCTCCAATCTGGGACCCCTTGAGGCACGTCTGACTACCCACTTAGGACCGATCCCATTGGATCAGGCAGTCGGACATCCTCTACAATCCAGGACTGTTGGCTCCCAACCACTCGCCTGCCTGATTGCCCCTAACCACTTCTGCCTGACAGCCTGCTCACCCACTAACCACTCCTCTGCCATCCTGATCAATGCCTAACTGCTCCCCTGCCAGCCCGAGTTATCCTAACTGCCCACCCTTGCCAGCCCGATAAAGCCTAACTGTCCTTCCCTGCTGGCCGTGTCACCCCTAACTGCCCTCCCCTGCCAGCCTGGCTGCCCCTAACTGTTGTCCCCTACTGGCCTAGTTGACCTCAACTGCTCTCCCCTGCAGGCCTGGTCCCCCCGAACTTCCCTCCCCTGCTGGCCATCTTGTGGCAGCCATCTTCTGTCCACATGGGGGCGGCCATCTTGTATGTTGGCGTGATGGTAAATTTGCATATTACCTCTTTTTTATATAGGATATATATATTTTTTTCTTTTTTGTATTTAGTTTTTTACTTTTCTTCTTATATACTCATTCTCTACCCACCTCCTCTATACTGAATTGTGGCTATTTTCCCATTATTTTATTTCCTTGACCTTATCCTCTGGAAATAAGCTCTGCTTCCTCAGATTCATCTGGCTGTTTATTGTTTGGGGGGTTGTAGTTTACATATTTTGGATTAGTTATTGTTTGTAGTTTGCATTCATCTCTGGGTGTTTGTTGTTTGCATTTTTTGGATTAGTTGCTGTTTTATTGAATTTTCTCCCAATATACATATACTTTCCCTCCTTTCTTCTTCTCTTTCTTTCCTCTCTTACATTTTTTTCCTCTTCTCAATGTCATTTTTGCACACTTTTCTATCCCCTAGCTCTCTTTTTCCTGGTGGTCACCTTTATTTGGGGTAATAGTGTTTGGTGCCCTTTGCGTTGTCTCTTGTTCTGTTGTATGTTGTGCCTTTCAGTCAATGCAGGAGAGAGAGAGCTACATAACCAGATATCCAGAGAGGAGCGATCATGGGGAGACAAAGAAATAGCCCACATACAAAAGAAAAGAAGAAATCACCAGAAAAGGAAGTAAACAAAATGGAGGCAAGCAATATGTCGGAGAAAGAATTCAGAGCGATGGTCATAAGGTCACCGAAAAGAATGGAGTACAAATTCAACATGTGTAAGAACCAAGAGGAAATGAAGAACCAAGAAGAAATGAAAAATGACATGACTGCAATAAGTAACTCAATAGGAAGCATCAACGGTAGACTAGAAGAAGCAGAGGACCACATCAGTGAGCTAGAAGACAAGGTAGGAAAAAATACCAAAGCAAAGCAGCATCTAGAAAAAAAACAATAAAAAAAAATCAAACACCTGGAAGCTAAATAGTATGCTACTAAATGATCGGGTTACTAGAGAGATCAAAGAAGAAATAAAAAGCATCATGGCAACAAATGACAATGAAAACACAACCATCCAACATCTATGGGACACAGTGAAAGTGCTCTTGAGAGGGAAGTTCATAGCTCTACTAGCCTATCTCCAAAAACAAGTACAATGGCAATAAATTATCTAACCCTACAACTCAAAGAGTTAGAAAGAGAGCAACAAGAAAAGCCCAGTGTAAGCAGAAGGAAGAAAATAATAAAGATCAGAGGGGAAATAAATGATATAGAGACAAAAAAAATACAAAAGATCAACCAAACTAAGAGCTGGTTCTTTGAAAAGATAAACGTGGAAATTCTTTTTAAAAAAATATTTTTATTGATATTAGAGAGAGGAAAGGAGAGGGATAGAGAAAAATCAATGAAAGAGAAACTTCAATTAGCTGCCTACTGCATGTCCCTTACTGGGGATTGGTGCCGACACCTGGGCATGTGCCCTGACCAGGAATCAAACCAGAAATCTATTGGTGCACAGGCCAATGCTCAACTAACTGAGCCACACAGGACAGGGAAAATTGGAAATTCTTGATTATAGAGTCAGAATTTTCATTGCTACAGGCCAGCAGGACTCTGGGTCCATGTGTCCCTTCCAGGCTTATCAGGATACCAACAATCTGGAGTCCCATTTTTTAAAAAATATATTTTATTGATTTTCTACAGAGAGGAAGGGAGAGGGACAGAGAGCCAGAAACATCGATGAGAGAGAAACATCGATTCAGCTTCCTCCTGCACATTCCCCACTGGGTATGTGCCCACAACCAAGGTAAATGCCCCTAATCGGAATCAAACCCAGGACCCTTGAGTCTGCAGGCTAACGCTCTATTCACTGAGCCAAACTAGCCAGGGCAGGGCTGCCTTCATTTTTGAAATGTACTTTCCTTGGAAATGTACTTTTCTAGAACATACAGTTCTAGATTGAATTCTTTTCTTTTCTTTCAGTTCATAAAACTATTGCCACACTGTTTCTTGCTTGCATTATTTACAAAGAGAAATTATTGGTTT